TTTGTTTTAATCCTACGTTTTCGTCACGAGCGTGGCAAAAATTTGATCTTTTTAAAGTTTCACACTGCTATAGCCCCTTAATGCCTGCTTTCATATAACGTGCAAAAGTATGCAACATGCCATTTCTAAAATGAAGATAACCTTTGTTACTAGAAAAATATTAAAAATACAAGAAATTTAGATAAGTTACCAGATTGCTAGTCAAATATAAGACAACTGCCTGTTCTTCGTTTTCTGCACATATTTACCGTTTACAATAAAAACGATGGTCTAAATTACCGCGAACTATATATATATCCTAGCTATAGGAAGGGGAGGGTCACTTCTAGCCCTGTGACTCAGGATGGATTTTGACCTTAGTGAATAACTTTACAATACGCTTCTTAAAACTAGAGATAACTAGGAGGCAAACATTTTAGTCATCCAACAACATCCTCTTTCGAATGCTTTAAAACATTTAATGAAATGGGGAATGTTAAAATTTAGAAAAACGGCGGGAACTTAGTTGCCAACCTAATATTATAATCACATTATATGCATTTTGTTAAAGACAATTGGATATAACTAATGCTAGAAGTTTATAAATGGACAATACTAACCTCAATTCCATGGATTTGTTGACTAAAAACTCGACCGTTAAAGCGAAACATACTTCCTTCCAATATTTAGAATCGTACACTCGGGACCTGATTATTTTTTCTACTAAATACTGAGGATTTGAACCTCTCCCACAATTTGCATCTTTCAATGTGAGATTTGCCATTATTCAATCACACTGAGAAGTATAGAATGCTAATGAAATACACTTCAGAAATACTTTTCTGATAATTGTATTAATTATTCAGATAACTCCTGCTTCACGTACATTACAAATATTTGTTAAATAAATATGTTTTAAACTTAAAACTTTGTGTACAAATATTTACATAGGCATTGTTGAGCGTATCGATCGTATCCTTTGAATTTAAAGTATCGTGCGTGTAGCCTCGTGTATCCATGATATCGTCAGAGAGAAACGAGAGAATTCGAGAGAGACTGAGAGTGCTCATTTGTTTGTTCTCAAGTGAAATTGCACTCTAAAGCTGCAACAAAAATGCTGCACCGTGCGGCCAACTTGGGAAACGGGTCCATCGTAGCATAGACAAGAACCTTTTTAGGTTCTAGTGTTGAGTTCTACCCATAGAGTGCGCGTTCAATGCTGAGTAGTGAAGCAGAAGATCCCGGACGAAGAAAGAGAAAGAGATAGTCGAGTGAAGATTTGTCTCTCTCGCACACGCCAATAGTGGCGGGNCAGACGAGGAGATGATTGACAATTAGCTCAAATAGCCAACACTAAGAATAAGATATCACTTCTCAATTAGAAGAGACCTCAATTAACGACTGAATGATAATTATCAGTTCAGAAATGGTTTAATTATGATAGCATTTTCGATCGTTAATTTGTCAGATTGAACTGGAATGGAATTTTGAGTTGTGATTAAAAAGTTTATCAAGAAAATATTTGGATACCTGCCTTACTATAAGGTGGGAATGGCCAACAAGTCGATCGCGAAACCGTCAGCCCAGTATCATTTATTAGTACATAAGACACGTGTTTGAATGTGTTTAGCTGTCAATAGTCGAAGATTGAATTAAATGTTAAATATGTAGATCGCATCACATTTATAAGAAAAATAGTCGATCATATATATAAGGATGTTCCAAAAATATTTACTCATATTTTATGAACCATATATTTGACTTTGTTCAAGAACCTCCACTAAGGGCGTGAATTAAAGTTGGAATGTATCTTTCAAATGATCTTATTTTAACATGCAATGAGCGCTTGTTTTTCAAATGTTTATTCCACGACCCGATTGTCTTATGGATTTTCTTGGAGATCGAAAAAGTATTTTCTCCAATTTATCTTCTCTTCTTAAGCTGATAGACGCTGGAGGTCTGCCAGAACACTGCTTTGGCACAAGCCTACATCGCACTTTTTGTATTGGTACTTACTTTCTCGTCGGATTTTATGTTTAGTATAAACTATACACTTTCGCGCGTGATTTTTTTTTACTAAACTTACGAGAGCGTACATATAGTCTGTCATAGTTAAACGGCTAACAACCAATACCTTAGTTGCTAAGGTTAATTTATCTGTTGCGATTTCTGTCTTTTATCTATATCCATATGGCCCACTATCATCCCTTAATTCTAAACTTTCTTCGATTTTCGCTTCGTCACGTATTAGACAAGAAAGTAATTTACAATCGAAAGATTCTTCTGTAACCTGAATATCTTATATTGCTTTTTCCCTGAAACCTGGTTCACTGTCAATCCCGTTATATCATTTGATAATTGTTCGCAGATATGGCAAACAAATATCAAACGTGTCTCTGACATAATAATAAATTTAATAATGAATTGTTACAGCGGAACTTCTTAATTCAGGAACAGTGTTGTTGGGGAATGGGCTTTACCGTGCCCCACTATTAGCAAATTAATTTATATAATATTACCGTCTCCCAGTATTAGCAAACAATCGAATGTCAACTTGCACAGCGTGACATAGCATGCTTTTTCTGCGTAGAGGTTTGTCAGTGGTGAATCAAACCAATATTTTGGTAATTGGAGACAGTAAGGCCTTTCTCTAGTAATCCTGTTCAAAAGGATATTTTATCAGTACAGACTTATCTTTTCCATTCTCAAGTTTTCGCTTAAACAATCCGTTATATCACTTACCTAAACTATTCAGAACTTTTAATTGTCCTTTATCAGTAAATTTGTTATTACGTAATCATTAGAGTATGCAAATGCTTCTCGTTTCGCCTGACATCTTGCTCGAGTCTTCTTATTTTGGTATCATACTATTCCTGTTGTTCCGCTAAAGTTCGATAAAACTGCAGCTTTGATGGCGAATTCATAATCTTGTTTAGTGATATAGCCGATCCTTTATCACATACATTTACAGAAGCTTGCGTTTCTGTATTGTAAGATTGAAACACTGATACTTCCAGTTTTCTATCTTCATTTTGCGATTTACGTCTTGAACAAGAAAACTCTGAATCTTGTTCAAGAGATGAAAATCTCGACAAGTCCTTCGACGCCGACTGTATCACAAGTCATTCGGAAGGTTAAGCACTTGTGAAATCCTCTTCTTCAAATAAATTCCTTTTACATGCTTTTACTTCATCTTCTACTGTCTGAAAAGAATATGAAATATCTATAGCTTCATTGTCTTTATCAATTGAAGACCAACGTATTATAAAGAAACCTACTTCAGGCACAGCATTTTATCTGACACGACTTAATTAAATGTGATCAAGCAGGAACTCACTAAAATGTTGTGAGCAGACTAACATGCTGTCAGCAATTCATTCTTCGTCGAGCTTTAAATTTTGTATCCACTTCTTCCTTCGCTCCTCATCCTTAGGTAGTCTATCATACAAGGTAAAATTGCAAAAAATGAAATATTTATCGTTTCACTATTGGAACAACTATATTAGATTATTCATCTATTTAATGTTAGTAATAACAGAGAGGAACTGAGAGTGCTCACGGCCGGGTTTTGTGTGTTCCCCATACTAGTGCTGCCCCCAGCTATTTTTTGCAGGGANTGTGGAAGGTTTCTTTTTTAATATTATTACTTCTCTTATGATATTTTCTACGGCAGTTTTTTACTTGGCACGTAGGCATTTTTTTGTTTATGTCAACTACTTACAACTAGAAGTTATAACTTCTACTGTTTATGACAGCAGGACCTGGCGTAAATGGCGTAAATCTGCCGCCAGTCTGCCACCAGATCTGACTACAGGCCTGACGACAATCTGCCATCATTCTGGAAACAGGCCTGACATCAAACTTGACGTTACTCTGTTACTATACTGGCGACAGGCTTGGCACCAGCATCTGGAGGCAGATGGCGAGCAGTCTGCAGTCAGTCTACTGCCAGATTGCCGTCAGATGCTGATGTTAGGGATTGGCGCATTCTGCAGCCAGTCTACCGTTAGATCCTGCAGTAGGCCTACCAAAATCCTGCCATTTGCAGATTGGCTGACTGGGTAGTTACGAAAATCCCGCTGTGAGGTCGGTTCACACAAGTGCTACGAATATTTTTAATTTGTCCCAATCTGTACAACGAAAATTTCGAACAAAAACTGCACCACGAAAGAAATAAATTGGAAAATATTAAGACTAAATAATTCGACGAGTGTATCTAATAAAACAATTTCTCAGCCCTTACTATCCAATTGATTTTGTTCGATTTATTAAAAACAAAGTGTACTTCATGAAAGACTGATTATTTGTTGAATAAAGCTTGGGAACTGCGAAGTAAGTAATAAGAAAAGATCTAGCACTTATCCGAAACTGACCAATACATGTTCCCCTAATGCTCATTCCATGTATTTACTAATTATTATCTGAGTAGTTAGTATTCTTAATTAGCAGTCAAAACACTGAGATTAATAAGCAAAGATTGCAGATTGAGGACGAGAACTGACAAGAATCAACCGCTCTACTTACGCATACTGTTGTACGGTCGGATGATTCGGAGTCCGAATCGGGAGCGTTGGCTCGGATCTGG